AGCAGCACAACAACGCACAGCAGCACGAACGACCCGAGCAGCCCCAGCATAACGAGCGCGACGAGGAGCAGCATCAACACACGAAGCTGCAGGGCCGCCAGCACCACCACTGCAACGAGCACGACGGCGAGCAGCGGCGCCAAGCGCAGTAGCACGAGCGCCACCAGCGGCACCACTGCGACGAGCACGACGGGAAGCAGCTGCGCCACTCAAGGCAGAACCAGCACCAGCAGCAGTTCCACTAGAACGAGCACGACAGAAACCAGCAGCAGCAGGTGATTCGCGCTGGACTGCGCGAACACCCCAACTACCCCGCCGGCGAGGTCGGCGAGGAGAGACACGCTCCCGTGCCCCAGCGCAAGGCCCGGATCGTTTGATTTTGCTCTGGACCCTGGGGGGCGCCCCAAACAAAGATGCGCAGTCTGTCAGTGCGAAGCTTGGCTGGGAGGTGCGAGCCCCGCCCCAGAAGCAACTGCTGATCCGCCGATCCGCCCAAGCCCGATTGGCGGTCGCTCCCAGGGGGAAGGGTTGCGCCAGCCGGGGCCTGTAGTAGCAGCGCTACCCAGGATCGCCACGGCGAGCGCGACGACGGGGTAAGGGCTCGTCGTGGGCCCTTCGTTAGCGCCAGCCGCCTGCTGCCGCCCGTCCCAGCCAGCAGATCCAGCGCCCAGCACCAGCGCCCTGCCCAGCCAGCACCGGCGCCGAACTAAGCTGGCCAGCAGCGGCCCCTGGGCAGCGCCCTCCCACCGTCGTCGTCCAGGGCGTCCAGCGGCTGCCGCGCTGCCGGCGTCGCCATCGCCCGCTGCGGCTACGGGCCGCCACGCGTCGGGCGTGCAGCAGGAGAAGTGCGAGCGCAACGAGCAAATTCCATTGCGACCAGCACGACAAGAAGCATCAGCACCACTCGCAGCAGCACCAGCGCCTCCAGCAGTGCCCCTGTCAGTAGCACGAGAAAGACTAGCAGCACCACCAGTGCGACCAGCCCGACAGGAACCAGCAGCACCACCAGCGGCAGCGCGAGCGCCACCAGCAGCACTGCAATAATGCGACTAACCCTAGCGCCACTGGAGGCACCTCTGCGACCAGAACGACTGCAAGCAGCATCACCACGCACAGCAACACCGGCGCCACAATATGTAGCGTTGTGACGACCACGGAAACAGCAGCGCTACGCGCAGCACCTCTAGCGCCACCTGCATCACCAGCGCGACGAACACGACAGGAAGCAGCAGAACCACGCGCCCCAGCAAAAGCGCAACCAGCAGCAACAGTGTGACCAGCACAACGGTAACCAGCAGCACAAGCGTGACAGGCAGTACCAGTGACCAGCAAGACGGAAGCCAGCTGCACCAAGCGCAGCAGCACGAACGGGACGCAGCGTAGTTTACGACGGCCCAGGGAGGGCGGACGCAGCGTACTTTACAAGGAATCGTGGCCCTGGGAGCGCGGACGCAGCGTACTTTACGAGGGATCGTGGCCCTGGAAGCGCGGACGCAGCGTAATTTACGAAGGATCCTGGCCCTGGGAGCGCAGACGCAGCTTAAGTTATAAAGGATCGTGGCCCTGGGGGCGCGGACGCAGCGTAAATTACGAGGGGTCGTGGCACATCGCATTTCAGCACGGCGCAGCATAGCACAGCACTCGGCACGATACATCGAGATCGATACACTCAACATTGCAACCTGGCACATTCCTTGGCACGTTCCGTGGTGCGTCCCGTGGCGAATCCCCCTGGCACGTTGCGCGGCGCATCCCCTGGCACGTCCCGTGGCACGTCCATTGGCACGTTCCGTGGCGTGTCTCCTTGGCACGTCCCGCGGCGCGTCCCCGTGGCACGTCCCTGACACGTCGCCCTGCGCGTCCCTTGGGAAGTTCCGCGGCGGGGAGCTGAGGCGCAAGGGCAACAATAGCTTGAAATTTCTGAAGTCGTTTATTGAATGACGCCCTGGGCTTGTCAGCATGCTTGTTGAACGCGTTGAGAGGAATCTCGTCGGTTCCAATCTCTCCGTTGCCCGCCAGAGGACTTTCCAAATTTTGGGGGAAGCGAAACGCAACCATTGAAATAATGTTATTGCCAAGTTGCCTCATCTGCCCGGGTGTCGCGCGCATGATGTTGTCATGAGGCTGTTTCGCGACATGTGTGCTCCGTGTTCCTAATGGACATGCCTTAGCGATTCACGTTCGTCCTCTCTTCTCTCCTTCTCCTGAGGATATGCTGGTGAATTCGAAGTGGTGGGGTAAGCGGTTGCAGACATATGATTTCACTTGCACGTGCAGTGAGTTGAGCTCATTACTCGGTGTCCCTTAGCTGGAAGACGGTCACGTGTGCGTGGGGGCTGAGAATACTACTCTGAATGGGAACGCCCCTCGCCACTTTCATTATGACGGTCTGTGCGTTTCGTCACGGGGGCACGTGATGAAGTGCATCGATAATAACATGGATGCTCTCGCGCGTCGCCTTGTCAAGGATGGTGCGCACGTGCAATGGAGCACTTCTGATGCCCACGCTTACCTTCTTGAGTTGCATCATATTGTTGATGATTTTCGCCAGAGGGGGGTTCTTGCGCATGACGCTCGCGCTTGGAAGAAACTGATGTTTTCGCGTGCTGTGTTCACGCCGATTGACAAGTGTTCTTCTTCCGTTGCTCTGTCGTGTCCTCGTGGTTGGCAGATCAGGGCCAGGACTTGCGCACTCAGTAGCAATAGCCCTTTCCAGTCCTTCATGGGCTGGGGTACTTTGCACGACAATTTCAGGGAAACCCAAAAACGCTTGAGATACACTGGCATCGTTTGCGCCCCTCTGGGATAACGTGTTTTTGGCATGATTGACGTGTGGCCCAAGCATTCTGACCTTGCTCATAAGAGTCGCCCTGTCGGCTCGTATTGGCCTCACTGCTTGAAGCCGTTGTTTTCTTTGGGTGTCGTGCTCCGAATTTCAGGGTCCGGTGTGTCTACCCCGATTCGATGAGTGTCTTACGGATCAGAAAGTCATCGACACGTTTCAATACTTTACCCTCGACGTTGCCGACAACAGGAGGAAGGTCTTCGTTCCTGTGTTCATGCTGTTTAAGCGGGACGTCGACGGCTTCTTTAACAACGCCCCTTGGGTTTTGATTAATTGTGCTCTTGATTGCTTGATAACTAACTGGAAGGATGTTGCTGGCACTCGGATGATGTACGTCCAGGTTCCCCAGTATACCCGTAAACCAACCCCGCAAGGTGGCGCTCCTCTGTGCGTTTCTCGCACATTTAGAGGGCATGTAAGAAACCTTGTGAAACCTGGCGCTGACGGGGCTCGGCCGCACAATTCACGTAGTTTGGCTGCTGATAAATACATCTTTCATGTGTCTGACATTGCTTGGCTTGTCAATTTTGATATTGCGCACGGTTTCCTCCAAATGGGTAACGTGCCTGTTGCACCCCATAAAGGAATGACCCAAGGGTGCCCCCATGCCCCTAGAGTGTGCAATGTCGTATGCTGTTATCTCGAATACGACAGCACCCAGCTACCCAAAAGCATCGACTTGCATTTTGTGCGCCACGTTTCTTCTGTGAGACTCCGTTGGGTCAATGACATTTATGGCATTTACTGTTTTTGATTCCCTCCACAAAATCTGTTTTACTATGCGTCCGGCCCTCCAGCCAAGAGACGCCAGGTCTGCAAGTCTTCGGGTGACGGGTCTGTGTTTTCGGAAATTGACGCTCTGTCGAAACGATTTTTTCACCACGTGGAGACCATGTACACGGATGTTGTTCTCACCCGGGCTCGGAGAAAGCAGCGTGCGAAAGCTATTTCTCTGAAAGTTGAGGATCCTTCTGTTTTTCTTGGCTTGGATGTGAACGTGCCTGGTGAGACCGTCTCCCTTGCCCTTGCTCCTCATACGTGCAATGACGATCTGCTCCAGCAGGCACGCGTCTCTTTGACCCGACCACGGTTCCAAGCGCTTCACAGCAGTGCTTCTGTCTCTTCTATGGTGGGGGCTATCGAAGGCCACCTCGCTCAGACGATCGACCGGTGTCTTGACGATGATTCTTCTCTTCTCGCCAACATCCTCATTGAGCTCCGTCGCCTAAAATTCCCCTGGCGCGTCTTGGATCGCACTGTGAAGCGCGTGCACCGGAAGCATCCTGAAGCAGGCAATCAACCTTGCTCGGTCGAAAATAAAGTAAATAACCCGCGCTCTGACGGCCTCTTTGTGTTCTGTCGGCCAGAGGGACCGAACTCGATTGTAACCTTATGATGATGGATGGTTGCACGCGCGCGCATGTATTCGAATTTTCTTGTTGTGCTCTGTCGGCCAGTGGGGGCAGAACCCATTCGCAATCTTCTGGTGATGGAGGGGTGCACGCGTACGTTTGATTGTTTTACTGTGCGCACTTGTATGTGTTGCGTGGACTGAAGCGGGCCAGATGTCCGGCTTGCCTGAACGGTCTTCTACTGGCGATGTGGATATTTGTTATTTCTCGTTTGTGTCCCCTCCTCTTCCTCCTTGCAGTTGCCTCTTGCTGTTGCCTCCATGTTGTTGTGCTTTGTTGTGTGTCCCCACTGCGCAGTTCGCAGCCACCCAGGGAGCAGCGAGATCTCGTCTGGGTTTGCGTGGCCCCCGACTCCGCTGGACCTCCCAGGAGCTCGCGAAAGCGGCGACAATTGCGCAGTTCGGAGCCGCTTATGGGGCAGAGCAGGAGTAGGCAGGAGGAGGCAGGAGGAGGGGGAGCAGGAGGTGGAGACCACAGCGCTCTAGCCAAAACGAAGACCCAATACAGAAGAACTGGGAAAAAAACCTCTCCCGATTCTTTGCGGAAACGGGACCCTTCGCCAATCCTCGCGCCGAAATCCATGCTTCGGCGGTGTAAAAGAGGGGAGTGCCGGGGAGGCGGGGGGGCGCCAACCATGGCCGCAGGCATGTGCGCGGACGAAGGGGAGGGCAAGGGACGCAGTGAAATAAGGAGCGGGGGCCATGAGATCAGGGGAGATACCCCTCCAGTCGTCACCCCTGGTCCTGCTCGGTGCAGCTGGCGAACGGCAGCCCCCGGAGCCGCACGGCGCCCAAGATAGCCCCATGGCAGGCCGCCGTGGCCACGAACAGCGCCGCGGCGGGGGCGGCGCCGCCGCCGATGCCGCCGTGCAGGCCGCCGCCTCTGCCACGAAATATGCCAAGTCTAGGGGCGCCTCCCAGATAGGGACACAGCAGAGGCCAGGGAACCAAGCAGCACTGAGAAGTAGCCGAGCGTGGGTGATCCCAGGTAGGCGTAGGCGTCCAGGTTGCAGGGCGTGTGACGCAGACCAGGGGGAAGGCTGCAGCACAAAACGAGTGTAACCAACTCCCCCCCTGGCAGTGAAGGGCCATCCAGGGTCGCTTCGTCTAAAGACCTCCCAGATGAGGCCAGGGCAAATGGGGTCTGAGGATCGCGCCGCGTCGCCGATGCATCGCCGATGCATCGGCGACGTCGGCATGGAGGAAATCGGGCTGAGGAGATCGGGCTCCACATCGAGCCGCATCGGCGATGCAACGGCGATACGGCGCGATCCTCCGATCATCTTCACTGGAGCCCCATCCAGGAGGCCTAGAAACTGTTGGTCCTTCAACGCCTGATGCAGGCCGCCGCTGGACGCCGCTGCCGCCGCCGCCGGGCGCCGCCGCCGCTGGGCGCCGCCGCCGCTGGGCGCCGCCGCCCGTCGCCGTTCGCCGCTCGTCGCCGCCCTCCCCGGCCTCTGGCCGCCGCCGCTCGCCGCCCCCGCTGGGCGCCGTATAGGCGTTCGCCGCCGTCGCTCTCCCCTTGAGAGCCGCGCGTCGCGCAGTGTTTGTTGACACCAGGCGTCATCGCCCAGATTCTGGCCTGGGGGGCCCTGACACATCAATCCAGCTTGACGTGTGCAGCAGGAGGTCGGGTTCCAGTCGCAACGTTTGACAATTCTGTATCTTTGTTCACGACGTCGGATTTGGGTCCTCCTCCTCATGATCCTCCTCTGCCTCCTCTGTGCCCTTACGTGAGGACGGGCCGCGCAGAAGCCTAGCCTTTCCCGCAGTGGGCGCCGCCCCAGATCGGATGCCAGACGCTGAGTATCCTTGTCGTCGTCGGCGAGCGCTTTCACGTTGCGCGCTCGGTTCGCAAGTGCAGGCGGCAAGCGAGAGGCAAGGACGAGCGCCCGATCCAAAACTGCCCTTGTGAAGCGAGTACCGAAAACCCCGTCACACATAACACTCAAAAGTATTCATTAATTGCCGGGGGGGGCGCCGAGCGATACCGTTAGCACCACGCCGAATTAATCAAATGATTCCGCGGGGGGGATCGGTAATCGCTTCCCGAGGTTATCCGCCCTCCACGCGACAAAAACATCAGAGGAAACAGGGAAGAGGAGGGGAGGCAGGAGGGAGGGAGGGAAGGGGGAGGAAGAGTGGAGGCCTCTGGACCCAGAGTATCCCCTTGCTGCGTACAGGGCGCACTCAAGAGGGTTACCGTCGACATCGGTGGCTCAAGGATGGGGTCCTGAGGGATGGGGTCCTAAGGACGGGGCGCCTCAAACAATGCAAATTGAATCCCTTCCTACCCTGAGAGACAACACGATTCGTAGACGCGAGGGGGGGGGCCGTCCCCGGTTCGAACCCCCCCCCGTTGGACAGAGGGGAGCCCACCTCCTAGTTCGACCCCCCCCTTGCAAGTACGGCCCCAACTTGAAAAGGGGGTGGGGGCCCGACCCCCCCCCCTCTTGCATCTCAAAAGGGGGGGGGGCCAAGTTCGACCCCGCGCCCCCCTTCCTTTCCACGCGTCCACAAAACACGATGTTTCAATCCACCAGACCCCATCCCTCGGCTACACGGAAAAGTGATCCACCAAAAAAAAAATATCTTTGGTGCGCGGGCTTCGCGGGGAGACTAAACATGAACGCGCGAGCCGCTGCTATCGCGTCGCGCCCAGCCATGTGGGGGCCCTTGTGTGCCCGCACCGAACGCCACCCTGACGTGTAGCCGAACCCCTCAAGACCCCATCGCCGAACCCGCCGCCGCCGCCTGGAGTCGCCGACGGGCCGGACGTTTGGCCGGGCCCCGGGCCCCAGGGCGGGCCCAGCGTCGACGGCGCCCACTCGGCCAGCGGGCCCCACGTCGCGGCCCCCGTAGCCGCCGCCGCCGCAGCAGCCCCCGCTGGTGCGGCCGGCGGCCAGGGCGGCACGGCGTCCGCGGCTGGCTGCCTCGGCTCCTCCTCCTCCTCCTCCTCCTCCTCCTCCTCCTCCTCCCCCTCCTCCTCCTTCTCCCCCGACCCGCTCTTGCGTTCCGCCCGCTTCCTTCCTCGTCCGTTCTTGCGTCCCGCCCTCCTCGCTCCTGTCCGCCCTCCACCCCAAACGAGCGCCACTCCGCCGGCCCCTCCGAACCCTCTTCCCGCGCGGCTTCTCTTCCGCCTCCATCCTCCCGCCGCCTTCTCCTCCCGCCTCCATCCATCCCCCCTCCTCCTGCTCCTCATGTTCCTCCTCCTACTCCTACTCCTCCTCCTCCTCCTCCTCTTCCTCCTCCTCCGCCCCACGATCCTCCTCTTCCTCCTCCTCCCCCTCCCCCTCCTCATCAACATCATCAGCACCCTCATCATGACCGTCCTGATGACCAGCATCGCCATCGTTATCATCACAGCCACCATCACCCTCAAAACCAACATCCCACCATCAGCATCACAATCATCATCAACATCATCATCACCATCAGCATCCGAAACCCCAGTCTCTGTATCAAACTGACAATCAGGATGTCTATGACGCCGAGCCTCCGCGGGCACAACACAGAAGGCAGCGGACAGGGGCCCAAGTTTCAGAAGCACCTGCAAGGCGAAACCAAGCGCAACATTAAAAATCAAACCATTCGAGGAGGTCGAACAAAAAAAGGAGGTGAAACTTGAGCCACCGCGATTGCAGCGCAGACGACTGCTTGTCGACCAGCCGATATCCGACGAGACGTACAAATTTCACGTTCAAATACAGACCATCCCAACCGTCTATGAAACCGAGCCTCCGCGAGCACAACACAGAAGGGGGCGGACAGAGGGCCACCGCAAACTTCGAGAAGCACCTGCAACATTACATATCGACTTACAGTACAGCAGGCTGGCCATGAGCCAAAGAAACATTTCATTGCACATAAACCCGAATAGATCACCAATGCGTTCGGCCCAAATTTTTATGAACCCGATCGCTATCATTACACAGAATGTTTGGGGCTGGGGCCCGCTAGCTTGGAGTAGAAATTGCAGGGGGGCCCTTGCCTCAGAGCTGCTGGTGAGAGCGACTCGCGGTCTCGAGCTCGGTTAGATCAAGATTGAAGGAGAGCAACAGGGTGCTCTTCTTCCAATTCGCACCCTATTGGCAGAAATCTGCCGCGATCGCACCGTCACCGCGAGCAGGAAACACACGACGCATGGCGGGGCAGATCCCTAAGCGGTTGCAGACCGGGATCTCCGGAGAGCGCGGGGCTCGCGCCCGCGCGCGCACGCGAGTGAGCGAGGCGGAGAACAACATCAGGGCGCTTCGGATCTCCACCTTCCCCTGGCCAGGCTCAGACCAGCCCCCGAGGCCCATCGGCCCCGAGGGGCTCCGGGGCCGCCGGGGCACGGGAGGGGCGTTCGGGCCTGGCCGATAGACGAGCAACGCGGGGCCGCGCGGGGCCCGGCCGCCAGCCCGCCCCCACCTGCCCCAGGATAAGGTGGCAATTGCGCTATGACCTCGGGCCGTAGTCTCGCCCAAAAAATTCCCCACGACAGCGCAGCGACGCCGACCGCCGAGACCGCTTCCGAGGCGCCCGCCGCCTGGGAATACCTCGACGACGACGCGCTGTCGGAGAAGAAAGGTGCAGGGCAGTGCTGACCAGACACGACCTCGGCAAGATGCTCGACGCAGAGTTTGCTCTGGGCCAATGGCTTCGGGCCCAGCCTGCGCAGTGCCTGTGCGTCCACTGCCCATCTCGCAGCGTCGGGCCGAGGACCGCGAGCGCCAGCGGCCGCGGCGTCGCGCGTCACCCAGGCGCCGGCACCCCGACGCACAGTCGCGCGAGGCGCCTCCGCGTCGCGGCACGCGCCTGCGGGCGGCGCCCAGCGCGGAGCTGCCCCCCGGCGCCACCCGCAGGCAACCTGGAAGCAGGCGCCACCTCGCCGAGCGTCGCCAGGAAGAGGCGCGCTGCCGGGTGGCGCCCTCCGCCCGCGCGCCGCCGCTGAAACGCGCGCCACTCGGCGCCCGGGCGACGGCCCGCCATGAGATCCAGGGCCGGGCCCAACGTCGACTGGCGCTCGAGCTCCAGGGAGAGGCTCACATTCGCCTGTCTCGGACGCCCGCTCGGCCCCGAAGGTGCGCAAGCGGTTCCTTGAGCGCCGAGATCTGGCGATGAAAGATAACCGTCGTGGAAATATGACAGCCAACCGTGGCAATTGCGCAAACATGCTAGTGGAGGCAGCTCGTTGCACGGTGTTTAAGAGACGGATTGGATTGAGCAGCAGTGGGCCCATCCCTACTAAGATCCCATTGGAGCAGGACCCAAATCTCACAGGGTCTTATTAGAGATGGTTCCATCCCTGATAGGGTTATATTCGAGCTGGCTCCACTTGTATTGGGATGTTATTGGAGGTGGACCAACATCTAATCGGATCATATCACAGGGGGCTCCATTCCTACAAAGACCCCACTAGAGGTGAATCCATCTCTGATGGGGGTTCTCTTAGAGGTGAATCCATCCTTCAACATTTTTTTAGCACGGATGGCTTTACCCTCGATGGGGATCCGTTGGCGGTGGACACACCCTTCGTAGGATCATACTAGGGATGGGCCCATCCAAAGAGAGACAGATAGAGATAACAACAGAAAACAGAGACAGAGAGAGAGAGAGAGAGCGAGAGAGAGAGTGAGAGAGAGAGGAAGAGAGAGAGAGAGAGACAAAAAAAGAGAGAAACAAAACACGATCGAGGAAAGGAATATAAAATTAACGCATGGCAACGTTTTCAAAGACACCTGATTGGGTGACGGGCAAATGCAATGCTGAGTGTATGGATCTTGATGTACCCTGCCGAAGGCTGTGCTGTGCTGCGCCGTGCTGAATTGCGATGTGTCATGCCGCGATTGTGCTCTATAGCGTCGTGGATCGAGTCCTCCTTTGCATCCGAGTCCTGACCGAACTGATCTGGATCTTAAGCTCGAGCTGCCTGAACACATAGTAGCTGCCCCAGAGCTAATTTACAGGGGGACGTGCCAGGAGGACGCGCCGCGGAACGTCTCAAGGGACGCGCCAGGCGACGCGTCAGGGGACATGCCATGCGGACGCACCGCGGGACGTGACAAAGGGACGCGCTACGGAACGTGCCAATGGATGTGCAACGGGATGTGCCAAGGGACGCACCACGCGACGTGCCAGGGGGACTCGCCAAGGGACGCCCCACGGAACGTGCCAAGGAACGCGTCAAGATGCAATGCTAAGTGTATCGATCTTGATGTACCGTGCCGAAGTCTGTGCTGTGCTGCACCGTGCTGAATTACGATGTGCCATGCCGCGATTGTGCTCTATAGCGTCGTGGATCGAGTCCTCCTTTGCATCCGAGTCCTGACCGAACTGATCTGGATCTTAAGCTCGAGCTGCCTGAACACATAGTAGCTGCCCCAGAGCTAATTTACAGGGGGACGTGCCAGGAGGACGCGCCGCGGAACGTCTCAAGGGACGCGCCAAGCGACGTGCCAGGGGGCGTGCCATGGGGACGCACCGCGGGACGTGCCAATGGGACGAGGAAAGAACGTGCTGGGGACAAGCGTTTTCGCTCGAGACATCCTGACAACATCCTGATGCTAGTCATCTGCCTGAGCGACCTGGACACTGAAAACAAGCGTTTCGCTCAACACATTCTCATGCTAGACATCTGCCTGGGCGAACTGGACACTTGAAAACAAGTGGTCCGCTCGAGACATCCTCAACACAACTTCATGTGAGACGTCCGCCTAGGTGACCTGGGCACGTGAAAACAAGCGTTTCGCTCGAGAAGTGTTCAACACCTCCTCATTCTAGACATCCGCCTGGGCGACCTGCACACGTGAAAGCAAACGTCTCCCTCGAGACATCCTCAACACATCGTCATGTTAGACATCCGCCTGGGCGACATTGACACGTGAAAACAAGCGTATCTCTCGAGACATGCTCAACGCATCCTCATGCTAGGCATCCGCCTGGGCAACCTGGACACGTGCAAACACGCATCTCGATCGAGACTTCCTCAACACATCCTCATGCTAGACCTCCGCCTGGGCGACGAGAACGCGTGAAACTAAGCGTCTCGCTCGAGACATCCTCAACATATCCTGGCGCTAGACCTCTTCCTGGGCAACCTGGAGGCGTGAAACCAAGCGTCTCGCTCGAGACATCCTCAAGACCTGGGCACGTGAAAACAAGCATTTCACTAGAAAAATCCTCTGAATTCTAGTCCCCAGGAGCGGACCATCTATTACACGAAAAAGCGTTTCTCTGGAGACATCCTCAACAAATTCTGAAACACACTCGTATTCGTGCCCCTGGAGAAGCGCCAATCTATGGGAACACACGTAATCCTGGAGAGGGCCAATCTATAGGAATATACGTGAAAACGCACGTATGTGAGCCCCTGGAGAGGGCCAATGTATAGGAACACACTTAATCCTGGAGAGGGCCAATCTATAGGAACATACGTAAAAGCGCACGGATTCGCGCCCCTGGAGAGGACCAATGTATAGGAACACACGTAATGAATCCTGGAGAGTGCCAATCTATAGGAATAGATGTAAAAACACACATATTCGTGCTGCTGGAGAGGGCCAATCTATAAGCAATGGAAAGACCAATATATAGGAACATACGTAATCCGTTCCCCTGACCAAAACGTGTCCCGCACCCTGTGATTTATCGATCGCGATTTCAAAAACCAGCGTTTCGCTGGGGCCATCCTCAAATTGTAATTCGCCAGCCCACCTCGACCTCGAAACTTTCGTGAAAAGAAATTCGCCGGCCCACCTCAAGTCAAACCCGGAAGTAAACCAACCAAAAGAGAACCCTGGGCTTATGCCCTTTCCGGGAAAAAGAGAGAGAGGGAGAAATGTAGAAAGAGGGAGAGAGAGAGAGTGAGGGAGACAGAGAGTGAGGGAGGGAGAGCGAGAGAGGGAGAGAGAGAGAGAACAACAACAACAACAACAACAACAACAACAAC